TTTTTTTGGATTCATGGTTGCCAGCCGCTATTTCATCAGTTTCCCAACCCCTACTCTCCACTGCCTCCAGACTTTTAAAATCTGTTTTTTAACTTTACACTTAGCTGACACTCGAATTCTTATTTCACTACTTATAATACCTTCTTTTTAGTTAAGTAACATTTGTGTTGCTGGGCCAACCATCAAATAGAGCAGAGGATGGGGAATAGCGAATCAACCGAGAAAGTGGAAGATGGAATTCGTAAGCAGCGTACCTCGGAGTCAATTCCGAAACTGTACCATTTCGTGGACATTCATGGTGGTGGAGAGTTAATACCCTGGATGCGTTATGCCAAAGATACTGGTGATTCGTCGATCATAGATGAATTCATTGCAACAAAGGTTTTTCTAATAGACGTTTTCGTGGACCAAACTGAGGATAGCTTGCTGTCTGAATTTGACAGACTGAACAGACTTTGCCAGAACTGGATAGTCTCATTGATCAGCTTATAAAAAAATGCATATTGAATTTGCTGCTATGTGGTCCAAACGGCGTTTAGCTAGCACACGATAAAGCGCTTTTTTTAAAATGGTTGTACCATTTAATTTATTACTGGAGGGAAGTCACATGTATTTTCGGGCACTAATCGCGAAAAAATTGGATTTTGCCGGAATCGAGTATTTCTGTGTTTGATTATTCATGTGTTTGTACGTGTCATAAGTATATTCTGAAAAAAAAATTTGCTTGCATAACAAAGTGCATTAGCTCACTCTGTAATCTGACTTATAAATTCAGGTCTAAATTTAAACCAACTTACAAAGGAACAAGGCTACTGATCTGAAATATTTTGCGGAATTAATGTCTCATACCTCTTAGGTTTTTTAAACGCACCAGGAACAAATGGAACCGGCTAAAGCTTTTCCAAATACTTCAGTTGGAAAAATTGCCGAGCTGGTAATCACACCAGGAGACGAAATGGACGAAAGGTCTGCCAGAAGTCAGATCAATAGGCAATGCAGAATTAGTTAAGGCAGTAGAAATTGGCTAGTTTCACAGATAGGGAGCCAAACTATGAACTGTAAATGATCAAAGCCATGCTTCGCATAGCTTGTGATAAATTGCGTTGTACTCTGATTCGCGATCTCGTGACATTTTGCTAGCTTCAAAACGGAGCGAGCTGAAAAATTGAAATTTTGAGCTCTAAACCGATATTAAATGACTCAGAATCAGTTGCGTCTTTTGACCTGCAGCCGTGCGCTCGAACATGCGCTAGGCCGCTATTTTGATTTGGAGCAGACCATAGGTTCGAAATTTTTTTTTACTCTACGCATTTGAAGATCTCGTTGACGAACTCCCACGCTGTAGTAGCACAGTGAGGAATGGGACAACCGTAACAGCTTAATGCAAAATGCAACCCTATTTCGGCCATTTGATGCGCGCTGCTAACTTTTTCAA